GTGCTATTGAAGAGTCTAAAGATTTAGACTCTATGATGGTGGAGAAATCGGAGGGTTCTTTACAGGCCCACGAAGAAAAGATCAAAAAGAGAGAAGAAGTGCTATTGGAGCAACTTCTTAAAACTCAGGCATTCTTCAAGGATTATGGAGGTAAAAAGAGCTATCGAGGGAATTGACGGGGACGAGGCCGTGGCGGTCATGGAAGAGGAAGAAGTAATGGTAACAAATTCAACAAGGAAGTTATAATCCACCAAACATTCAGAGGTCGTGGTCGTGGACAAAGAGGAGGAGGAGGATGTAGCTACTACCAAGAAAATAATGGACAAAGGTATGACAAATAAAAAAATGAGTGATATAATTGTCATAACTTTGGCCATTACTCTTGGAAATGTCGTAGCAATGTTGAAGAGAAAGCAAACCTTGTTGACGACAAGAAAGAAGAAGATGAGTCAATGCTGTTGCTGGCACTCAAGGAAAAAGACATGGATGATTGTAGCTCGTGGTATTTGGATAATGGAGCAAGCTGTCATATACGTGGATGCAAAGAGAGTTTTGTGGAGATCAATAAAACGGTGAGAGGTAATGTGTCCTTTGGAGATACCTCAAAGATCTAAATCGAAGGGATAGGTACAATTCTGATCTTCTCTAAAAATGGTTGCCACAAGTTAATTCAAGATGTTTATTATGTCCCAAAAATAAGAAGTAATATTTTGAGTTTGAGCTAACTTCTTGAAAAGGGATATGACATCCACATGTAAAATATGCATCTTTGTCTTAGAAATTTAAATGGAATTCTAATTGCTAAAGTGCATATGGCAAAGAATAAATTATTTTCTCTGAATCTTAAGATAATTGATGCAAAATGTTTAAAGGATAGTGTGCAAGATGAATCATGGTGTTGGCACATGAGATTTGGGCACTTGAATTTTGAAGCGCTCAAATCAATGGGAGAAAAGAACATGGTGCATGGGATACCATCAATCAACCATCCCAATCAATTGTGTGAAGCTTGTCTTCTTGGAAAACATGCAAGGAGGAGTTTTCCAAAGGAGGCCATGTCAATATTAACCAAACTGCTCCAGCTTGTTCACATTGATGTGTGTGGACCAATCAATCCACCTTCCTTTGGTAAAAGTAAATACTTTCTTCTCTTCATTGATGACTTTAGTAGAAAGACTTGGGTTTATTTCTTGAACAAAAAATCTGAAGCTTTTGCTGCTTTTAAAAATTTCAAAGTACTTGTGGAGAAAGAAAGTGGCTATGAAGTAAAAGTTTTAATGTCCGATAAAGGAGGCGAATTCACTTCAAAAGAATTTAATGACTTCTGCTAGTCTCATGGAATTTGTCTCTTTCTAATAATACCTTATTTACCCCAAAAAATGGAGTGGTAGAGAGAAAGAATCGAATGATTATTAATATGGCTAGATGTATGTTGAAAGCTAAAAGTATGCCCAAGGAATTTTAGGCCGAAGCTGTTTCTTGTGCAGTTTATTTGAACAACAGCTCTCTAACAAGAAATGTTAGAGATCAAACCCCTCAAGAAGCACGGAGTGGAAGAAAGCCAAGTGTTAAGCACTTGAGAATCTTTGGGAGCATAGCCTATGCTCATGTGCCACACCAAGGGAGAGCGAAGCTTGACAATTAAAGTGTCAAGCATGTGTTTGTTGGATATGATACGAGTTCAAAAGGCTACAAGTTATACAACCCAAGTAGCGGCAAAGTGGTGATAAGTTGCGATTTTGAATTTGATGAAGAATTGGCATGGAATTGGAAAGCTCGGGAAGAAACTTCATATGATTTTCTTCTATAGTTTGGTGATGAAGAAGAACCGGAGACAATGGAACATGTGCAGGATACAACTCCACCTCCTTCTCCAACCAATGTTGCATCTCCCTCTTCTCAAGAATGTTCAAATGAACAGTCGCAAAGGACAAAGATTATCAAGAGCTCTATGAGGACACAAAAGAAGTTACTAATTTTTATTTTTTATATTATCTCTTTGCTGAAAGTGAACCAATAAACTTTAATGAAGCTATTACAGAAAAAAGGTGGAGACAAGCCATGGAGGAGGAGATCGAGTCAATAGAGAAGAACAATACTTGGGAGTTAACAACTCCTCCCGAGGATCATCGAGCAATTGGAGTAAAATGGGTATACAAGACAGAGAAGAATATTGATGGAGATGTAGAGAGATACAAGGCACGACTTGTGGCTAAAGGCTACAAGCAAAGGCAAGGCATTGAATATGAAGAAGTCTATGCACCTGCTGCCCGCATGGAGACGATTTGTTTGCTGATCTCTTTGGCAGCGCAGATAAGGTGGAAAATCCATCAATTAGATATCAAGTCAGCCTTCTTGAATGGCTATCTTGAAGAAGAAGTCTATGTTGAACAACCCTTGGGATTTGTGGTCAAAAACCATGAGATAAAGTGTTGCAGTTGAAGAAAGCTTTATATGGATTGAAACAAGCCCCGTGGGCATGGAATAGTTGCATCGAAAAGTATTTTCAAGACAATGATTTTACTCGTTGTCTCCATGAATATGCTCTTTACCTTAAAGTTCATAGTAATGGAGATATTTTTCTTGTTTGTCTTTATGTTGATGATCTTATTTTTATGGGTAATAACCCAAGTTTGTTTGAAGCTTTTAAGAAAGATATGTCCCGTGAGTTCGAGATGACGGACGTAGGGCTCATGTCATGCTACTTGGGACTAGAAGTGAAGCAGATGGAGGATGGAGTTTTTATCTCTCAAGAAAACTATACAAAAGAGATATTGAAGAAGTTCAACATGCTCGATTGAAGCCCCGTGAACACGCCGATAGAGAGTGGGACAAAATTGTCCAAGATTGATGAAGGAGAAAAAGTGGATCCCACATTTTTCAAAGGTCTTGTGGGAAGTTTGATACAAGGTATCACTTTATCAGAGAATGCATTGCCAAGAAGGAAGTCGAACTCAAGTATGTGAAATCTCATGATCAAGTTGCGGATATTTTTACCAAGCCTCTCAAGTTTGAAAATTTTCAGAGGTTGAGATTAAGACTTGGGATGACGAAGAAAAATCAAAATTAAAGGGGAGATTTGTGGGACCCATCTAATAAAAAGAAACAAAAAGAATGAAAGAAAATGATGACAACAAGTTGCAACGAAGTGAGCGGCTGGAACCAAAATAAATTTGGCAACTTGCAAAGCAAGTTGCATATGCAAGCATTTTGATTGGCTGAAAGTTTGGCAAGTTTTGCTATAAATAGGAGGCTTCATTCCTCATTTTAAACACACCAAAAACAAGAGAGAAGTATTAGAGCTCTGAGAGTAATCCACAGACTACTGTTATTGTGGTGAGATATTTAAAATAAAGACTGTTATTTCTTTTGAGTCGAAGTAGTCTTTTGACACTACAAAGTTGTAATATTATAGGAATATTATATTATTTTACCCCGTTAAAAGATTTGGTGTCATTGTTACTCTCTTGTGTTTTTGTTATTTATGGTGGAACATGATGCACTATCAACTGCCAAGAACATGAAAAGCTCCACTATTGAAGTGAGAAGTGCTTGAGAACGGGCTAGTTGGAACTTAAGTACTACTTAATTAACAGAAAACAGAAGATGCTTGTGTTTAAACAAGCTGTTGATCACGGTAATAAACTAAGAAATTTATTTACTTTACATATGAAGTAGTAACCTTTGAATGACACAAAATAATGTGAAAGATAGAATTTTTACACTATTTACTGCAGGCAACAAGATACAACCTGATAAAACAAGTTAAACTACACTGATATTGTAAGAATATATTTTACTGACAGTGTATGCGGGGTAATTCCAATTAAGAATTGCTGGCTCTTCAGAAGCATAACAGGTAACTGTTTAGCATTGCCTCAGGACGGAGAAGCAAAGATCTAGATCAGATCAAAGTGTTTCCTCTGCAAGAGCTTATTGACTAACAGAGAGACAACGTGCATATAAATTGTGTCTTTCAATTTCTTGCATTATCATTGAGGCCCCACTTTTCTGATTTTGAAGAAAAGATCATGTTGTTGTGATTAAGAAGAAATTAAACTGCTCTCTCGCACGTTCTCTCACTTGATTGATCATAGCTGACACTTGTTGGATCTTTCTTTTATTTATTGTTAATTCTCTAGAAACAGATTAATTCTTAGAGAAAAGACAACAAGGAACGTTGTCATGGAAGGAGAAAGATTTGGGTGAATAAAATGCATAATATTACATGATTCATGATTAACAATTTTGCCAACTAAGTATTAGGATGTTGAAGTGGCAGTGTTAGCTTAATGGTGAACATTTCTGCGCATGAATAGGTCAACTTGCAGTGTGCTTGATATTAACAAGTCCTAGTTATTTAGCTCTATTTGATGTTGTTATACTGCAATAGGCACACGTTTCGTACACGCTGTTATTCATGTGGATGAGTTGCAGATAAGCACATTGCTCGTTGAGTGTTGACCTTTGATTAGGACAAATTTTTTCAAAAAGTGAAAAAAAAAAAAAAACCTAGTCACAGAAATATACTTCAAGGTGTGATTGGACTGTGACAGGTTTAATGGACCAACAAGAACAATGAGAATTCATATAGACAACTCCTTAACTTTTTGGGATTTTGGCGTAGTAGTTGTACCGGCTGCATAGACAACTCGATCAAATGGTTAGGATGGAAATTGAGTCCATCATTTTGCGCACTCTCCTTATAATTTAGCCCGATAAAAGTGTAATAATTAGTTTTGGCAGGCAGTGACTAATTATCGAATTGTTGATCATTGCCAGAGAAAAATTGCAAAATTCTGGAGACATGGATTGTCTGAGTTCTTGATTTAAAGATGAACTTAGATTGCTTAAGGTTTCATTTTCATGATCCTATGTTAATGTTTTCACATATAGTAAAGCTAAATTGCTTACGCTGGAGCCTTTAATTTTTTAGTTTTTGTCCAGGCAACAAGTAAATCTGGATTAGTAAGCTTGAAAATTTCTTACTACAAATATCTTTTTTGTAATCTATCCTTACCATTTCAAAACAAAGTGAAACTTAGCATATAGCTCTCATTGGCAGATGATTTATATGGCCACAACGTGATTGTTTTGACTGCATATATAGTTGGACTATGATGTATGGAAGAAACTCAAAAATTTGACCCTGACAATCCTCAATGAATCAGCAATAGCAGTAGGCCAAGTGTATACTACTGTTAAAATGATTCAATCTCTTCTATCTACAATCTATCAAACAACACTAAATCGAAATCTAGGCTTCAACAGGATTTCCATGTGAAGATCTGACCCTGAAGACATGCTCTTCCCCTGTGCATTTATCTACTTTGACAATCCAGCGGCTCTTTTTCCCTGAAACGCCAAAGCTACTGCCTTTATGCGTCGTTTTAGTCACCAATAAGCCTTCTCCTATGGGTAACAAATGAGCATTAAAGCTTTGGCATCTCCATGAGCCCATTCGCAACGCATTGTACCCCAAAACGATGGCAATTTCCCTGATTCTTCGTGCTGTTTTAAGAATGCCTTCACAGTTGTTGAGGTTACAGTCAATTACTATACAATCTGCTCTTCTGTAGTAATTTATTAGTAGAGTTTTGGCATCTCCAATGACAAACTCAACATGTCTCGCGTTATTGTGTAGAAATTTTAGTGATGGAATTAGTTTGTCAACAGCACTAAGGATGCAAATGACTGTGCCACCAGTTTGCTGGGCTGCAGCCACTAGGGCTAGTGTGGTGGAGTCAGCTGCAGCAGCACATGCAACAACCATCAATTGCGCGTTGTTTCCTGCAGCAAGTGCTGAAATGAATTCTGATACATCTGGCTCTTTAGCTCTCTTTTCCTGGCAAATACAAAATATACAACATGAGAAACAGAAAATTTTGGAATTTGTTGAGTGAAATATTACTAAGTAGTACAAATTGGTGTAAGCAGTGAAGTTGTGCTAACCATTTTTATTGCTCTGAGATAGGCTTTCGTTGCACTTTCAGCTGACCAACAGGCCATTTTGCTCCCTGTATACTTGTTTTTCTTTGAAAGTGATGAATGCCTTGTATATTGTTGGCCAATATATAACAAAAGAAGAAGGGACTGTAGTTATGGCCAAGAAATGGTGTCATATCCATATATATAAAAGAAAAATAAATGCAAAACAGGGTAAAAATACTATAAAATTTTTATAAAATCGTGATGAATGCAATTTTCACTCGTTTTATATGTGTATCTAATAATTAATGGACGATTATTTTAGTTAAGTTCGATTACACAGGTGTGCAATAAATTTTCGCAGTTCCCAAATACATGGCTTCGCTGTACTGTTCAGCATCATGAGGAGACAAATGAAAATTTTAATCTTTCAACTAAGATTATTTGAAGCAACTTGCAAATATCAACGTAGAGACAAAACTGATCAGAACCATGTTAGTCCTAACTAAGGGTGTCAAACGGGCCGGGTTGACCAGTTTCCGGACCGGCCCAGATCGGTTGAAACCCGGACCGGCCCGGACCAATACTCAGGGGGCCGGGTGGGCTGGATTAGGGGGGTTGGTCCGTTCACCTTAATACATCCGGTTAACCAGACCGGTCAACCAAAATTCCTGTAGAACTGGTTAACCGGCTCGGCCCGGATCAGTTTAACCGCTAGATTTTTGATTTTTTTTTCAATGTCAGATGACCGTTGCCCAACGGGTTGATTGCAAGAATAGCCCTTTTTCGGGCAATATTTTTTCAAAAAAAAAACACTTTTAGTAATTACTAATTTAGCCCTTTGAAAAATTATAAATACCCCCCCCCCCCCCCTCTCTATCTTCATTTCTTCAAAGTTAAATCATGCCCCGTACATCTAGAGTGCGCTCATATGTTTGGGAAGACTTTGAGGTGGTAGAAGAAAATGAAGAAGTTCACAAAGTAAAGTGCAAGAACTCTGGTCTAGTCTTAAATCTTCGTCTAAAGTGGGTTGGCACAGGCTGTTTAAGGAGGCATATGAAGAGTTGTCTTGAGCGTCCTCCAGAAATTCGTATTTAAGTTGATTTGAGACAATTTGTGTTATTTTAAAATTATTAGACGTATTTATGCTTAATGTTTTAGTTTGTTAGATTAATTTGAAGTATTATTATGCAATAAAAATTTAGTTTTACTCTTTTTTCGTTAATTTAGTTGTTGTTAAATGTAAACTTTAATTTGTATGTTAGAAATAAAAAAAGAACTTGCAAATTATAAGTGTAATTTTTTTCCATCTTCATTATATTCTATTATCTTAAATTCTTAATGAAATATTCAAAATTTCAAATATAAAGATTTTAAAGCCTTTGCATCCTTTTATTCAAACACTCTTTTTATAAAATTATTTTTTTAGTTTTATATTTTTACTTTATATTAATATAGATTACGATAGTTATACAAAATACGAAGAAAAAAAATACTAACTCGGCCCGGCCCGGCCATTGGACCCGTTACCCTTACGGTTCATATTTTACCAGGATGGACCCGGACCCATTAAGCCCGGTATAGACTAACCCGTAACCGGCCTGGATTGGAAACCGGGCCGGTTTCATTTTTTCCCAACCCAAACCGGCCCGGCCCACCCATGTAACACCCTTAGTCCTAACACTCTTCCAGCAAACTTCTGGTATCGATCAAGATTCGAGTTTAGTACTTGAATTAATATATTATCTAATTGGGTTACTATCTTAGGTCCTGGTCCTTTGGGGTACGATATGGTACAGTATCGTTCAAGAAATAGAGATTAAAAAATGAATTTGATCTGGATTTTAGGTTAATTATCTTTGAGACTGGACAACGGCTTATTTTGCTTCCTCTTTTAAAAATATGAGCGGTTTCAAGACAAAGCAATGTGTACTTATAATCTAGGCAAAGACTAGGTTGGATTGTTTATGTTTTTCTTAAATGCTTGTCTAAGATTTTCTAGTGCGTACTACGTTTTTGTCCTTGGTAGATTGGAGGAAACGCAAAGTTCCACCTTCCGCAATTGAGAGGGGTAGTTTCATCAGTAGCTATTATTATCGCACTAATATTATAACGCAAAAATTAACTCAATTGTATATGTTATATCTAACAGAAGAAAAAAAAACACCAAGACAATGCTAACTTTGGTCCGTAAAAACACGAGTAGATTCAAATAGATTGGAAGGATTCTGATCTAGTGTTTATTATTATTATTATTATTATTATTATTATTATTATTATTATTATTATTATTATTATTATTGTTGTTGTTGTTGTTGTTATTATTTATTATTATTATTATTTTTTTTTTTTTTTTACGATGTATGAATAATGAAATAACATAGCCATGTGCCTTTCTGATGTCTTGCAGTCTGCTCAGCTCTTTCATTGACAGGGAACCATTTGTTACTATTATATTGTGCAGGAGGATTGATTCAAGCTATATACAGCACTGTGGCGACCTAGCAATTACCCACGTAGAAATTCATAAATGTTGGAAGAGATTGGTAGAACGTCGATAAATTTAAAGAGATAGGTGAATGGACAGGTTATGGTCTGAAAATTTGGTGGAAATAGTATTGCAGCTAATTAAGAAATAGTATTCAACATGGGTTGGAACTTGGAACTAGCTCAATCAATTGTATGGAAGGTGGTCAATAAAGTGAGTAAAAAATCACGAGATGTATTTAAACTTAAGTGGATAGAATTATTTAGTACCAATTATGTTGATGGAAAGTAGCAAGCACGCATCGAACTACTCGAGATCTAGCCGGGATACCATGATTATAAAATAATTGCATCTAAAAGTAACTTCCACACTCTGCTCAATTCGCCACTAATTAAGTACCATGCCATACGGACAATCTAGGGGAGATATATTATGACTAATTATGAGTTATGACAAGAGGCTCTTTGCATCTTTGCATGTGCAACAACTCTAACTCCATGTATGCCTTTCTTCATACCTAAATTAAACTCTCTGCACCACTTCGAATATAATGTTATAGGAATTAAGGGATTAAATATACTAATTAAGTATCGGGACAAGGAAATTTCCTTTTAACCAGTCGCAATTGAGCATAAACTTGACAAGGAACCTCCTAAATTAATCGGCTAATTGCCTTGTCGCTTCCACCTACTTCTATGGATTTCTCATGTAAGTTTTAATAGAAAAAGGGAAAAAACTTACCCGCACCCGGTGTATACACCAAGCCAATAACTAAATGATATTTGTCATCTTATTTAATTATAAATTAGTAGTATGTAATCATAGTTAACTTCATCTACTTTTTTTAATCTTAAATAATATAAATATAATAATAAGCTTATTAGAATTCTAGCTATTCTGTTGTTCCACGACAAATACCGTAAGGGAGCAAATCAAGGCTAACAAATTTCTCATTAACCACCCAAATTATCATTCTTTCTTCTTAAATAAAATTTTGCTACAAATACACCCTCTTTAATTTTTCTAGGATCTTAGAAAGCCAAAAATATACTAGCTTCCACCTCTCTACACTAACTTATAGTAGATCATTCAATTCTTTTTTAACATAAAAATTAGCTATAAAATCACAAAACTAATCATTGTTAAAGGCATTCAACAAGGCAGCCTATAATATTATTCAAGATGTCTAAGAGCTCCTTTATAAATACCATCATATTATATCACCGTTCCTCCGGATAAGTTTCATAAACTTAACCAAAGACCTGAAAGGTTTGCTCAGTTGGTAAGCACCTCCACCTACGACAGTTAGGTGTGGAAACACTATAGATCCTCTTAATTTGGAAGGGGTTTTAAAAATAAAAAAAATAAAAAAAACACGAAGAGTAATGACAACATTCAGTTTTACTCATTGAAAAAAGATAATAACAAAAGCAGTTATTTTTCTTACGTGACAAAATCCAATCATTATTCATTGAAATGGTTTCTTAGTTCACAATTTTATGTAAAATGCTACTACTGTCTACAAATCAGAGCAGCCAAGTTCACTAGCATCTCCTTCTCAAATATATAAACGGCTAACCCTAAAAGATTTTCTTAAAAAAAAAAAACAACTCTAGTAGAATATTTTATTTCCTATGGTTAACTTAACTAGAATTGGTGTATACACCGGGTGTGGGTAAGTTTTTTCCTAGAAAAAAGTAACAAGTTAATTTTTTGGGTCTTAGAGGTAAATCATCCGTGAGGTTTATTTTAATATTGAACTTGACATAATTGTCAAATTAAACGGAAAAAAAATGATGATAGTTATTTTCTTGGGGAATGTGCCTCAATCACGAGTTGTTCTTTTACTTTCTTTAATTTTTTTTTGCTTGAGATGTGACATAGACATAACATAGCGTAGTTTTGACTTTTGAGTACAAAAGCTAGAAATTATTGAGACAAACTAATTAAGGGCGGACTGCGAGCCCACGGGCCAAACGGGCCTAACGGACCGGCAAATGCTTTGGTCCCAAACGGTCCCAAAAGCCCACTGTGGGCCAGTCCTCTATGGTGAGACCACGAGCCCGGGACGGCTGGCGGGCCTAGGCCGGTTCAAACGGGCCAACGGCTATTTTTCAAAACAAATTTTTTTTTTTAAAAAGGGCCAACGGTTAGAAGTTTAAAAACTAGCCGTCGGCCTGCCAATTTAGCTGTTTGGCTTTTTAAAAAATAGCCATTTGGCCTCCAAACTTTTTATAATTACACTTTTTCCCTTTTCTCAACTATAAATACCCCCTCATTCTTTCATTTTTACTCACAAAATCATCAATCTCTCTCAATCTCTCTCTCATTTTCTTCTATAATTGCTTACTTTATTATTGCAATTTGAAAAATTATGAAGTTGGTGAATTGAAGTATTCAAGTCTTCAAGTCTTCAACGATATACAATTTTCAAGAAGGTGTACGTCAATTCGGTAAACTCGTTCCAACTCTTAAGTTTTAATATTATAGTTTTGTTTGTTTTAGTTTGTATAATTATAATTAATATGGCCTTTTCTTTGAAAAAAATGTTTGGTGGTAAGGGAAAATCTAAAATTGGTGAATCTAGTCGCCAAGTTACTACCCCTCCCCCGGCTCCCCGACCCAGACCTGTTACCCGTCCTCCTCCTTGATAGTGATAACCCTT